CTTTCAGAAGGGCTTTTAACTCCTGAAATTATCTACTGGGATGATTTATTTAACTCGAAAGTCGTACGAATGTCACGTCCGACATCATGGAAACACCTTTATACAAATTATGCCTCTACTATGGCAGTTCAAGTGGAGTTTTTTGAGATTATTGTGCCTTTTTCCACTTGTAAAATCTAGTTTCAAGCTCCGAAGAATAATTACAAGAAATAATTTGCGTTATTTCTGTTGCATGCAAAAGTACTTTGCCGTTGCTGTAAATTTTCTTCATAACCGCTAATAACTTTCCTTAATCATTTTTCATTTTTCGTTTATTAAAATCTAGAATACTGTATAGATGATGTTGAAAATATGGTAGCTTATTTTCAATTATTTACTGTGGAAGAGGAAAGGGGTATGAAAACAATGAGCATTCACTATATAATACAAAGAAAAGCTGTACTTTAACACACACAAAATATGTATGAAAAATTAATTTGAAAAAAATTAGTAAATGCTAAAGAAACGCGAATATTAACGAATATCAAATATAAGTAACTTTCAACTATGTATATAGAGACGAAATAGAATACAGTCAGTCAATAAAGTTTAGGTACAGCGAATTTTTACAATACGGGCAACTATTTTTTAAATATTTTATTTTTTGCTAATTTTTTATAAAAACAGTGTTAATTCTACAATAAAAACCCCAAGAATCAAAGTTCCAAACCTTGTGCATAAAAAAAAATATCAAACATTATTTTATATGGAGAAAATGAGCGACACCTCCACCAAAAAAAAAAATTCGAAAAATCAATGGTAAGTCCTAGCCACCTCAAACTTGCACTTTACTATACTAAAATTGAATGGGCTAAAAAACTGCATATTCAACTTGTTTCTAGAGAGTGTAAATAAAAAGTGCAATATTTGAATGAAATTTTGCCGAATTTTCTTTAATTTCGCACAAGGTTTGGAACTCTGATTTTTGGGGTTTTTGTTGTAGAATTAACCATATTTAAAAAAAAAATAATCGAAAAATAAAATATTTAAAAATAGTTACCCGTATTGTAAAAAATTCGCTGTACCTAGCCTTTATTGACTGACTGTACGTGAAAAATTAATCTAATTTAAGTTAAAAAAAAAAATTAATGTTATTTAATTTACAAAATGGCCTACCTCATATTTGCTTTTTTTAGGACGAGTTTTCGTGCGCCGAGAAATTGCCTTACGGGACGCATTTAATTTAAGCCATTTATGCAACTCTACCGTTAGTGTCAATTAGTACATGCATACATACTACATGTGAAGTGGAGTGGGAGATGTTGTGAAATTTCAAAAACTCGTAGGCTTTTATTTTCTTAAAATTGTAACTGCTTTATTAGTATTTTTGGTTTATTTTGTTTTCTGTTAATAATATGTATGTAGCATACGCAAGTATATTCTGCCGGCTATGGTATTTTTAGTTTAACGTTTATAATATGCATTTTCTTAGTTTTTTCTGATAAATTTTGTTTGTGTTTATGCTTCCAGCTCATTGCAAATTCGTTATTGTTTTCGTTATTCAATTATACGATTTTTGGGAATGATTAGCAGTAGTGGGCGTTATAAAGTGGTAATATATAGTATATACATATACATTTTAGTAGTATGTAATAGCAGTAGTAGTAGTAGTAGTTATGCTAGTCGAAGTTAAATTCAATCCTCAATCAATTCGTTTCTTTGTTTCTATAAATTTGTTTATTTTTTATATTTTATCATATCTGCAAATAGATATAAAGCAACAAATGGTTTTTAAGTAAATCAGTGAATTTTGAGTGATTTACTATTTACACGAAAAGCGCAAATAGTTAGGCGTAAAGGAAAATAAAGATAAATTTTGAAAATGCAAAAGTGGAGAATACAACAAGACGATACAACATAAAAAACACAAAATAAATGAATTTCGAAATAAAATAGTGTCCGACTCGGATATTAAAAGGATGTCGAGAGCACGCATTGTAATAAGGAGGGGCAGGAGTTATATAAGGAATGCTTTTTTTACGCTTAAAATAATTTTTAGTCATCTTATATTAAACTTCACAATGTCAGCGCCTTTATTGTTGCTACCAACGCGTCACAAATCTTAGTATAACTTTATACGTCACATCAATTACACGCTTACATTGCCGCTAATTCCATACAAGCCTAAACAACCTCAATAAATGACACTTAATTTTACATACATATACAAAACATTTTGGAAATTATATACATAAACATACATATTACGCCTCAAATTTGCAAATAAATATACTTTTTATAGAATCTCGCATAATTAGTAAGCCGTTAAGAGCTTACAACAATTTGATTTGCCCCCAAATATACGTCATACGGACACCAATTAAAAATTAAATAAACAAATAACAACGAACTGCTTATTAAACACCAAGACGTTAAAAAAAAAGATGATCACAAACTTACCTATTGTGGTGCTGTGGTGGTGCGGGCAATGCTGGCAATTGTCTGCGATTATGTCCACCACTGCCAACATATCTGCTATAATGACGAGGACGCATATCATCATCATCGTCAGCCGATTCAATTGTGATCATCTCTTGTGGACGCGCCCCACGCACTCCACTCTGGCGAGCGCGGTTGGTGAATTCACGATCGAAATCCTCTGCATCATCTTCCTCTAAATTTATAAATTCTTGACGCTCCTCCAATTGGCCGGAACGCAAGTCCTGCTCTTTTTCAATTATATGCCCACGTTCGCCAATGTGATGTCCAATAGCCATTTTCTTCATACCACGCCTTGAATCTTCAACTGTTTTGCGTGTCTCACGTATGCCACCGGGCCCAGTTTTTGTACTAGATGTAGCCTGATAGATTTGTGGACGACCATCGGGGCCAGAGGACATTGTGATAACTGAGCTGGAGCAATAAGAGGGGCCATTCGGAGAGCCGATATCTATCAAGTGAAGTGAAAGACAGTTCAATTAATAAAATTTCATATAAAATTGTGTACGAACACAACAATTTAATCGAACTCTGTAGGGTGAAAACTTACTTCCTGCGCTGAGTAGGCGATTTATATTTGGCATTGGTGGAAAACCAAAAAGACCGCCCATCGGATTACCAGCATGTGGATTGCCACGTTCCATGAGCGCATTCTGTTGGAAGCCTGAATCGAATGGTGCCAGCATATTGAATGGATCGGGCATGAGTGAATTCATTAAACGATTCATCGAGCGCATTTGCATATTCATTGCATTCATGTGATTGCTGTAAATAGTTGAAAGATTTTTATTAGTAAAGGGACGATTAGAGTGAGGGATTAGATGTTTTTAAATAATGTTAAAGCTTGCTTGACTGCATACGAATGTGAACGTCGTCGTGCGCCGGCAGGCATTTTCACAAGCAAATTTTTTATTCCGAAAAAGTATGTGCGTACAAGCTGTGTTAAATACAATTTGTATGTATATATGTAGCTTTTATTCTTTTAAACAAAACGCAAAAAAAAAATAATTCTATTATATAAAATGACAACTGATATTGAAAAAATTATACAAAAAAAAATGCATGAGTGACTGTGTTGATCGATTTTGCAAATATACTTCGGTTCGATCTCGAATTTTTGGTGCGAATCGACGATTGTACTAAATTTTGTATGAAATTTTAGTTTTACATAAGTTTTTATCACTAAACCATCTCAATGATTCTCTACACTTCGCTCTTCAAATATCGCATACTCGCCAGCTGCTACAACGCTTTACCAGCATAGTAAATTGTTATTGTATAACAAATTATACATAATAGGGTTTTGAAATGTGATGATGTGAACAAATCGATCCCGCGACATATTTTTTTTTTTTTTTTTTCTTTTTGATGCAGAAATATTCCTAGAGCATCTAGATGCATTTCTCCATCAAAAAGAAGATTTTGAAGAAAATGTCGCTTACGTTATTTTGGCGATTAGAGCTCGAAATTTTAAGGCTGATTAATTGTTTTTGTACCAATTGTTTACCACGTAAGGTCTCATAACTTTAGTGAAGCGAATAATTTGTATCATATAAAATTGCTCATCTTGATTTAACTACTTTTCGTAACGCCAATTACTGAGGTATTTGCAATTTATATAACAAAATGTAGATTGGCGCTTACACGTATGTTAAGTGTTTGGCAGAGCTTCTTCTCCGATTTGTGGCGTGCGCCTTGATGTTATCCCACAAAGGGAGTGATCTACAGTTTTACGCAGACTTCGTATTTTTATGAGAAGCTGTTTTCATGAGAGAATACACTAGGAGCTTTGCGACTGCCATATGTATGTATGCTTTAATTAGCTTAAATTTTTTTAACGATCTTTATACATACATATACCAAGTATGTACATTAGGGTGGTCCAAATAAGTAAAGTCTAAATTTTAATTCTCTCACGCCCTAGGATTGTGTACCATATCAAAAAATATATCCCAATTTTTTAAATTTGAAAACAAAAAATATTTAAGAGTTCGCTCAAAGCAATCAAAGTTTTCATATATTTTATATGGGGGAAAAACAACTTTTCGTAGAAATGGCGTAGAATTCTTGACAATCAATATTTTTCTGATCGGAAAACTCTCAGGAAACTTCCAATAATGATACCCAATTGTTTTTCAATCCTTTTTTACGGCTTTATTCTGTATCAGTGAAAAATTCTGGTTTTTTTACGGAAATATATGTTAAAAGTTTAAATCAGTCATTAAAAAATATTTGTCGCCATACAGAATTGAGCTTTCAATACTGCACGATATAAAAAAATGGTTAAACAAACAAATTATTGACTGTGAAAATATTGATTTTCAAGAATTCGATACCATTTCTACAGTTTTTTCCATATAAAAAAAAAACCTGGAAAATTTTCAGCGCTTTGAGCGACCTTTAAATATTTGTTGATTTCAAAATAAAAAATAGGAGTAAATTTTTTCGGTAAAGAACCATCCTAGGGGATGAGACATAAAAATTCCGACTTTACATGTATGCATAGACATAAAATAAGGTTAACTAAGAATTTGAAGTAAAAAAAATTGCCGTATTGTTTATTTTTATCTATTTATGTATATAGTAAATAATGCATTATTCACTAAAGGAAAATAAAGAAATTAAAGATTATCAGATCAAACAGCCAAGCCTCATAACATGATAAGAATGATACGAACCCAACTTGGAATTCATAGTATATCTATTCAGATATACATACATATACATATATCCATAATAATGTTACTTCTTTTGAAGGGATTGCTGTTTGTATCAATTTTGAGTAAATTAGCGTGCTTAAATTTCGCAATATCGAAGTTTCAAGCATAACTGAAATTTACGGTTATATGAAAAGTGGGCGTGATTTTAGTCCGATTTTAATAATTTGCAACATTGTGCTTTTACGTAGCAAGCACAATAATCGTGCCGAGTTTGGTACAAATTGGTCGAAGGGTTTATACGAAAAAAAAAAAAAATGCCAAGGATAGTCACAAAAAAATTCTCAGAAATCAACGCTAATAAACTGCATACCTGAATTCTTTTTAGAAATTCGTATTAAAATTGCGATTTTGTTGAAACTTTGCAGATTTTTCTTAATTTTCGTACACTGTTTCATTCTTGGATTTAAACTTAACAAAAAGATTTTAGCATGTACATAATACATTGCGCATATTAACAAAAAAAAAGAGCCTTACGGGAGTAATAGTACAGCGGTTCCTGTGGGTCCCGAAATTCACATGTCTTTCGAATTAGTTTTAAATAATATAAAAAATAATCAAAGATCTGTCATCTTCCAATTATTTTGTTTCGCTTTTCGTACAAATAAAGCATAAAAAAGTGATTATTTAGGTTGTTAAATAAGATTTTTTGTATTTGCGGAGGTGGCGGGTTTTATCGGGAATGTCGGGAAAGTATTTTGGTCCCGCCCCGCAGCAAACTTTTTTAAGATCTTCCCGATATAGGGTATCAAGGGTTGATCCAAGGTGAATTCGTATGTATATATGAACATGAAATGAAAATCAACACATTTGGGTCTTTAAAAAATTCGACTTGCAGATGTTCGTGCCAACAAAAAAAAAACAAATGAGTAACTTGGGCATAATATGCATTGAACTGCTAATTGATACTGCCACTCAATTAAAGTCGGTGTGAGAAGTTCGAGCTGCGGAAGTTTGACTGTATTTTATTTTCCGTAATTAACCTACAATTAGGACAAAAAGCGAACACCATTACAAAAAGACCTCAAAGCCAATTTGAATTCAAATAACACCTCAAGCAAAAAGGCAAAGTTCATGGAATACTCGAACCTTCTCAACAGAAATAAATATAAGAAATTGTTTGGAAAAATCGAGTCGGGTGGATGAGTGTGCTTATAAGAAGGAAATATAAAGCAATTCTACCGAAAGGGACAAGGAAAAGAAAATTATCGATTTCTATTTGTGCACGATTGACACTGCGGCGACGGCGGCAGCTGACGTAGTCGTTTATGTACAAATGAATATATTCACATCCGCGCATACGTATGTCCGTATGTATGTATGGATGTGCGTATATAAATGCACATCTCTACAAACATATGTACCTGCTGCGCTGATTTGTACATAATATACATATACATACATACATAGCTAATTATTGGAGAAATTGGCCACCGCAAACTATAGCATTTAGCACCAAGATTGTATTTTTCTACGTGGAAAATTATTCGTATGAACACTAATCTGGACCTTATGTGATATGTATGTACATGTGCACCCATATGTTTAAAAAACCCGCATGTGATAATCTTTGAAAAACTTATCATATATGTACGTAAAAACTTTTATTATTTTCTAACTGCCCACACCTCACAGTAATATGCTCACGGCTTCTCGTGATGATCACGACGATTTTCCCGACGAAGTCGGTAGAGGAGCACCCAAATGAATATCAAATAGAAACAGCCACAACTTACCCCATGAAAAGGTCATCATCGAAATCTCCCATTAATGAGCCAAATAGCGACATTTTGTTGTTTTTTGCAAGCAATATTTTCTTCAAAAGCTCTTCACAATTATTTTGCTTCTTGTCAGCAATCAATTCGATCAAAAATCAATTAAAATACACGATTATAAGCACTTTTATGTAAAACGCGTCTTTGCTTTTCAATGCTTCGTTAAAAATTCTACAAATTTCTTTGCCTTTGTGTCGGATTCGAGCGCAAAATGCGTGTGTAGTGTGTGCTACTGCAGGGTTGCATGGAGTGGTAATTTAGTATCCATAAAATTAAAATTTTATAGTAATGTCGAAATCAAATTTTTTAGTACCAAAACTCTGTTGCATTCGAGAACTATGTAAATATCTTTCTTCTTTAATCTTTTTGCTGCCATTACAAGGTATTTGGTAAAAAAAAATAACGATATAAATATACAAGCCCATTACAACACTTGCAATCCACAACGCTCGCCAATATGCTCGCTATCGTTTGCCACAGACGTTGAGCGGCTCGTATGTGAACTTGTCGTTATTACTCAAAACTCTATCAATGCAGATGGTTTGGATGCATTTATCCGGCAATATGCACACTGCAATCATCAACACTAAATCAGGTTTTTGATTTTGTTTTCAATTCCATGTTCGCAAACCACGCGACAAACAAGGAAAAAGTTCCCTGAAAATCAAGGGCTGCATTTCTTTATTCATTCTGAATGTTTGGAATAAACTGTTCTGTTTCAAACGCATTCTATTAATTCCGGCTGTAAAATTTAGAATTATCTGGAATGTATAGAGAAACGCAGCAAAACTATTTTGATTTTTGGCGAACATGCTCGTGAACCCACCCACAAACGGCGAACATTGCTGCAAACACGAGCATGCTCGCACACATGTTCGTCGTGTGTGGCTAGTGTAGATTTTAAAGAAAAAATAACACACCAGCAACCCTGTATGTCTTCGTGTTCGTGAATGCTGAACGTCCGTCAGCAGTGTGAAAGAGATGACTAGTGTGCATTTATAGTGCTGCTATATTTTCACAAAACTGTTAGTTCCCTTAATTTCGAGAATTTTCGAAATTCATATACGAAAAAGGCGTACTGTGAATTCTGGCATACGTGTCCCATAACCACCAATTACCAAACTTGCTAATGTTTAGATGAAGTCTGAAAATTACCTTTGTTAGACAATAGGGGTCTTCATCAAAAGTTATAAACTGCTGATAAACTTGATAAATGATAAATTGTTAAACTTCGTATGAAAATCTATTTTACCAAAGTTTATCAAATAAATTCCATAAATTTCAGCAAAATTCCACCCAGACAGGTTGCCAGGCGTTCGCTTTTGCTACGAACACACAAAAAAGCAAATGAACCCAATGGCCCAGAGAAGAATGGAACGCAACTACATATTTCACCTACCTATACCTACACATTTCATGTTCCTGATGAAAATGCAGTTAAGGAATAAAGCCTTTTTAAACCCATTTCATTTTTACCCATATTTTTAATAATTGCTTTAACTTATTAAATTATTTGCATTTACCTTTTTGAACAGGTGGAAACCCTCCTTAATATTCTGAATATTCAAACTAAGGATATCTTACCACCTTGGCTTCACGTCATATTTTAATATTTCATTTAATTAAATTCTAATTTTAAAACAAACAGGTTGGCAACCCTATTCAAAATATTTTAAAACCAAAACCTTGTTAAACCTTGACTCTTATATTGCCATACATATTTTAATTGTGTATCTAATTCCTTTAATTCAAGTTGATTTAATTTCTAAAACATATGGCATTCCTTTTAAATAAAGTAAATTTGAGTTTAACTTTTTACACAGGTGGAACCCCTATTTAGTGTTATAAATGATCAAACTAAATAATTCTTAATAATTCTTAATACTCCTTTGCTTGACGCCAATATTTTAATAGTTGTGTTCTTTTACAAATTATCCAGTAACTCGCTAGTAACTTAATTTCTGAGAATTCGCTATTGTGCTATCAGAACAAAAGTAAAAGAACGCAAAACTAGTAATTGCAAGTTTTATGAACAGCTGATTTATTTGTTGTTTATTCGCAGCTAGTTCCTAATAAATATATATATATTATATTTAAATAGGTTTCTATTGTCAATTTCAACTATAAAAACCCCATAAACATTTCTTTAATTAGTTTCAATTGCACCCAGCAACATGCGATCAGCTGTTTTTCTCACTTGAAAGTTCTTACTATTAAAAATTTATCCAGTATAAACTAACAAGTTCTCCTCAAAATAAAATGTCTCTTTGCGCTCTCGATTCCCCCTTTCTTACAAGTTTTTTAGGTACAAGAACACCAAAACGTGACAGTTAGTAAAAACTGGTACAAACTATCGCGTACAAGAACGCTACTAATATTTCATATAATTTATTATAATTTGACTTAAAAAAAGGCAATCCTGTATTGTATTAAGATACATATTTAAATTATCTAATACTTTCAATTCAAATTGAATTTAATTATAAAACAAGTAATTTTTAACAAAAAAAAAACCGACTTCAACTCTCATATAAAAAAATATATATATATATATATCTCATGATCTTAACCAGATTAGTATGGGACCACCTCTGGGACACTACCTTTCCAATTTTCCAATGCAAAAAGAATAAACCAAAATCGGTTGACGTGGTCCAAAGTTATGCGGTAACATACATAAAACAAAAATTAAAAAATTAAAAATTAAAAAATAAAAAAATATTCCGACGAACTGATAACCTCCTCCTTTTTGGAAGTCGGTTAAAGAGGTGGCAACCCTCTATCATGCAGTTTGGAAATAAAGATTCTTCAAAGCAATTTTGTTTTATATACATATTGAAGTAATTTATTTAACCTATTGCTTATATTGAAACTAACTTTGTAACAAGGTGGCAACCCTCTACAAAATATTTTAAAACAACAACCTCTTTCGTCTGACATCCATATCAGGATATACATACATCTCAACTTCCTGCCTTTGTTTAAGTCGTGCTTGTTTTTTGAAACAGGTGGCAACCCTCATATATATATAATTAAAAAATAAAGCCTTTTCAAAACCATTTCTATCGATACTTATAGTGTAATAATTGATTTAACTTGAAAATAATTTAACTTTAATATTTTTATTAGGTGGCAAAATAAGAATTTATTGCATATCCATACGTCAAGCCCTTTAAATTGATACCTCATTTCGTAAAATCGAACGAACGGTACAGAAAAGGGTGAGTCATGTGAAATATTTTTGTTAGTACATGCTTATCTGGGATTACAAAATAGAAAATTAATTTGAATAAATTTTTATGCGGTTTGTGTCACAACTAAATCGAATATGTAGGTATTCTAAATTAAAATTTGATTTCCTTCCTCCCTGTGTTTCTGCCATCTCCAATTCCGTATCCTCAGTCGTATTTTAGCTTTGGCAAGTGTTTGCCGCTCGTTTTTCTCCGCTTCGGTTCTAGTGAAAAGTTTTATTAAATTGTGATTTAAATTGAGTATTTAAGTGCAGAATGTGTTTTGTTAAGTGTTTGTAGTGTATTTAAGTTGGAAGTTCAATAAATATAATTCATTTGTGATGAAGTGCAAGCATATAAAAAATGTGAAAAGTTATATGTATGGCCGATGCGTCGTCAGCGAAGCTTGCCAATATGGCGGCGCATGGGCAAAGATTGGTGAAAAGTGAAAGTGGAGTGCATATAAAAGTATGTATGTATGTTAGTACATATTTATGTACAATGTAGGTAGATAACTACATATCGATGGACCTTTGCAATAACGACAAAACTTAAAAAAGCCAACTACTGAACAGTGGTACATGTCTCTAATCAATGCTAAATTTTACGGACTGCGTTATAAATGTTTAGAATGGATTAGTCACAGATTAGACAAGTTTTATAGACATGCGCCACTGTTCGTAAGCTGTTTTTTTTCAGTTTGCCGTTGTTTGCCGAGTGCCATCGTTCATATGTATGTATGCTTGTGTTCATAAACATGTTATATATGTATTTACAAACTTATGCACGTACGGATGAGCTCTCGCATTTCTACGCTTCTCAATTGCCTTTTAATTTGGTCAAAAGAACGGGTGAGTCCCAGAAAATATTTTATATTTATTACATTTTTTTTGAGTAAAAGATTTTGTCATTAGTACATCCTTCATTAACAAAAACCCAAAATGACTCAACACATATTTCTTTTAAGCGTTTATACATACCTCTGCCTTTATAGCGCACTCAATGTAACCGTATTCAAAAGCAAACCAAATCTGCTGTTTTCATTCGAAATTTGTTTAACAACTATTTTGAGCGATTAACCGATTAATTCAAATTAAAAACTGTATTAAGAAAACAAGCCCATTTTGAGTTCGCGTTAAAAGAACAATGCGTTTATATGTACATATGTATTTTCTAACAGATACAAAACCGAGAACAGAGAAACATAAAACCGATTTAAAAAAAAAACAACCAATGTGAGTCAATACCAGTGTGACTATTTGATCACAAAAGGTGAGGCTAAATTGGTTTTAGAATAATGTTAGATTAAGTTATACCCTCTTAAAAATTAAGTTTAAAAGAACTCAGTACGCCCACTCCTTAAAAACTCTTCACCAAATAGAAAAGTTCCGCGCACCCGATTTTCCTTAAATAAATTTTTAAATCAAACCCATCATGGAGTTAAATTTAGGATTTTGATGTTTGCTACATCAGAGTGCACTAGTAATGAGCCAACAAATTAATTGTTTCAAAAATACAGTTTAAGATAAATTTCGTAGTACAATTTTGTTAAACCTAGAAAAAGCTAAGAAAGTATGTTCTCACGGAAATAGTACTTTGCTCTGTTTCGGAAAATTTGAACGAAACAGTAGTTTTTGAAATGTCAAGTAATTTTAGTATGGTAATTATTTGTATAAGTTCGCGAACCCGATTTTCATTGAATACATTTTTAAAGCAATCCCATCAAAATACAAAGTAGTATCTCTCTTATGCAACATTTATGCCATAGACTAAAAAACTTGATGAAATTTAAAAAGATCGTTTCGAAAAAATTTTGTCGCCTTTTATTTATAAAGAAAAATTTGCGGACTTATTGAATGACGCTGTATTAGATGATTCGTCAATTCAATAAATCAATAAACTTTAGTATAAGTATGTACTTCAATTAATTAAATTGGTCTAGGTCAATGCATTCATTTTCGTTTAAATCAAATCCTTGATCTAGATTGCTTATCTTGACGCTGAATGTACAATGCAGAAATACATACTACTTACTTACATACTTGAATATAGAAGTATCTACTGGCAATAAATAATAGATAAGATCAAAATAGTTTTAAATTGCACGCATCCACACTTTTGGAATCGCAGTTGGAGTTCTATATAAAAACCCATTGCACGCACCAAGAAGCCAGTTGAAGACTACAACCAAGCGTTAGCCTGAGTAACTAAAAAAAAAACACAGCGATGTTACATTTGCTTATTCTCAGCTTAGCATTACTACTAGCCATTAGCGACGCAAGAATAACCACAACACGTCTGCTAGCACTCGATGGTCGCATTGTTGGCGGTGAGGATGCCGACAGCAAGGAATTTCCCTATCAAGTATCCCTTCGTCAATTCGGTTCACACAGCTGTGGCGGTTCAATTTTGGACACTGGCAACGAGAACACTACCGGCTGGTATGTGGTCACAGCTGCGCACTGTGTAACACCCAGCTCTCCGCAATATCATCGCGTAGAGTATGGCGTAACGCAGCTCGGCGGTACCTCCGATAAAGTGGTGGACGTTGATCGTATCTTCCGACATGAGAACTACAACCCAAACACCATTGACTACGACATAGCCTTGATCAAAGTGGCAACACGCATAACGCTTAGTGACTTGGCTCAGCCGATACGCATAGCCAATGCAACCCCACAAGTTGGCGCAGATGCCGTTGTAACTGGTTGGGGTAGCGTGCAAGAAGGCGGCTATTTATCGCGCACTTTGCAAAAGGTAGCCGTTAAAATAGTCGATCGATTTGAGTGTGCCGAGCAGTATTCGCAATTCAATGCCGTCACGGAACGCATGTTGTGCGCGGGAGTGCCTGAAGGGGGCAAAGATGCTTGCCAGGGCGACTCTGGTGGACCGCTAGTGGTAGATGGTGAACTGGTGGGCATAGTGTCGTGGGGTGTGGGCTGTGCTCGTCCTAATTTACCTGGTGTATATAGCGATGCTGCTGTTTTATGGCGATGGATAGAGGAACAACTTGGAAAATGAGTGTTTGAAAAATATTTGTTATGAAGAATGTTTGCATCAAGAAAAATAAAGAAAGACACAGCATAGAGATTTAACTTATCGACTTGTTTCATAAATGTGGTATTAGAGTGGCCGTTAATTTAGTGATAGAGCTAATGATTGCCATACAAATATTTATAAAGTAACTAGCTTACACCCGCGGGTTTCACCCCGCGCTTTTATACAAACTAGTGTTCGCCCAGCGGTTGAAATTCAACCGCTAAAATTAAGGATAGTTTATGTGAGTTGAGTTGAGCTGAAATAAAATTTATTGGAATGGGTTAAGTGGAGGGGAGTTTAGCTTAGTACTTAGCATAACATAACATAGAATAGCATTAGATTCAATAACATAACATATGTAGCATAACACATCACCATATAACATCGCACATTCTTCAGTTGTATTTCCTTTTTATCCCTATCACTTTCTTCCTCTCTATCTTTGTCTCTATCGCTTTTAATGTTTATGTTTATGTTTATATGTATCTACACCTTCATGTTCATGTTCAAGTTCATGTTCATTTTCATGTTCATGTTCATGTTCATGTTCATGTTCATTTTCATGTTCATGTTCATGTTCATGTTCATGTTCATGTTCATGTTCATGTTCATCTTCATCTTCATCTTCATCTTCATCTTCATCTTCATCTTCAT